CTCCTTCCCCTCCCCTCCCCTCCCTCCCCTCCCTCCCTCCCTCTCATTAGGTAGATAATACAGAACAAATGTCTTTGGAGCTTAATTTTTTTAAAAGGCAGTCCTGGTTAGAAAACACTATCTAACCCTGCACTAGATCTGAGCTATTCTAGTTTCTAGACAAGGGCTCTATTGTCTTACCATCACTTGCTACTAAGGGATGAAATTTAAGAGCTCCTATTTACAAAGCACGGCCCCTTCCTAGAGCTGTTCTGAACTGTTTCAATTTTCAGAATGTATTTATTTAATTTCTTATGTGGGTAAAATATGGCCCTTGGGTGGACAAAACATCAATATGAGAAAAATGGCACTGACTGAACCAACATAGTCTGGTGATTCAGATGTTGGAATAGGACCCAAGGATACCCACATTCAAGCCCACTTCAGCTATGGAAGCTTGCTAGATGACTTAGAGCCAGTCATTCTCTTAGCCCAACCTAATCTCACAGGGTTACTGTTGTGCAAAAAAATCATAGAAGAGAGTGCTGGGTATGCTGTTCCTAGAGGGAAGGGGTGCTATAAGGACAAGTGACCACACTATGTACAAAATCCACAGTCATATACAGTATTGCACCTGCATAGCCTTAGGGAAATCAATTGTTCCTCGTTTCTCCCCTCCTTATTTGGAAAAAGTATTTGGAAAAAAATAACCTATTTTACAGAATGGATAGATGGATGAATAGAAGATAACTCTCTCAACAAAGTAATGGGTTACTTCTATGCAAATGTTTTCCTAGAGAAAAGCACAGTACAGAATTTGGATGTTTTAAAAACTTTGGTTTTTTAAGGTTACAAAGGTATTTATATTTACTATCCCAAATTGTATGTGCACCTGATTTTCAGTATTTATTTCTCAGAGTTGGAGGGACTAGGTCTTTTCTCCTTCTTTTTTCTTTTTAACATTTTGTTGCTGTACTGTGCAAATTAGCAAAAAAGCAAAGGAAAGCAAAACCCACAGTATTTTATATGCAAACAAGCTAAATGATATTATTACCATGGCTGATCTTATCTCTGTAATTCAAAAATTTAACATGAATTTAAACATCTCCATGAATGCTAGAGAATTTTAAAATGTTACTGTCAAGTTAAATGAAACTGGTGGGCAGCTTGACAGTTATTACTTTGATTCGGCATAGCTCGATTTCAAAGTTAACTGCTATGTGACCTGGAATGTTTAAGGAAAATATCCAAAGCTCTCTTTAGCACAGAAAATTAGTTGAATGATTCTCTTGATTACATATAGATGGAAAATGGATTGTGATCGAACACATAAACCTAACTTGACATCCAATGATTATATGGGACACAAAGTTTTGCAGCACTGAGTAATTAGAAATGAGTGAATTGACATTTTTCAGAGATCAAATTACATATATAAATCCCCAAAATCTATTTTCCACTTGAACTTGATCATCAGAATCAAATGCATGAATTAGAAAAACATGAGGCAAACCTCTGTATTTATTTATTACAATATTTGTATAGTACCTCAAACACCAGACTCCAGATGGTTTACAATCAATAAAAGCACGAACAGCCTAAGATTCCATAAAATAAAAACATTCCTAAATAATTCCTTGAGGCATGTTCTGGCAATATATTTTTAAATTGTGTAATTTATATGCAAGTGTGATAATCATAGGAATTAATAAGCTAGCATCAAGGAACACAAAATAATTGATAATCATTAATCTAGTTTGTATAAATAACTGAATTTTTTTTGGTTGAAAATTGCATTTTGTTTAATTTTTTTTTCCTTAACAATGTGGTGTTTGAGAGAAAGAAAAAAATATTCATGAAGGCCATGGGAAGGGAAAGATCAAAGACTTTCCTGTAGCAAGGGGAACAAAAATTCACCCCATTTTTTAAAGTAATTGAAATCATATTTACAGTAAATGAAACACATTTGAAAGATATCTGAGCCATATATAAAACATACAGTAAATTACCCAGAAAAACACTTTGAGTATAACAAATAATGCATTTTTTCTTCCACCATATCGGACAGAGTATAGAGTTCAGTAGCATCCAGAGGGGAGGGCTGAAAAAAAGTCAAGGTGGTGGTCATGAGCACGTGATCAAAGTCCTGCTTCTTGAACCTATGTGCAATGTTGACACACATATACAAAAGGGTTAGGGCTTTGATCATGCAGTTATGGCCACCATCTTGATATTTTGGAGCTCTGAAACAAATGCTCAATATCTAAACATGGGGCGGGGAGGGAATTGGAAAAATGTGATATTTTCCTCCTCGTCTAGGCTATTAAACTTTAGCATCTATTTTGTTCCTAGGAAACAACTAACATGTTATATTATTTATTAGTTCTTTAAAAAAACTGTAGAGTGCTAGAGACCACCTGCAGCCCCAGGCAGTGGGTTGCCCACCCTTTATTTAACCAATTCAAATGGTTCATGAATTATATCTTTTTTACATACTTGGCTTCATTTACATTTAAAACTCTTCCTTCTGGGGTGATCAAAGTGCGCAGAGGCTTCTCTTTGTTTCTTCGTTCTCTATTAAAAAAGCAAAACATTTTTTTTTTTTTTAGTTTTGATACATTTTGCATTCTTATCCTTTCTGCAAGGTAGCAAAAACAGTAGCAGCAAGATGACCAAGCCTTGAACTAACTCTTAAGACACATAAACAATGTCCCATTTACTTTAATGTGCTGAGAAAATACTGATGTGATTCCTTCAGGTACAATCAAGGCAATGATAATGGCTCCTTCAGTTCATCTGATCCCTGGCTACCAAATGCTTATCTAAACAGAGATGTTTTCTTGTCTATTGCAACGCTTCTCTAATGTTTGGTACTGCAAAGGTGTAGTTTAATATTAATTTATAAAATAATGCATGAAGAATCAGCGTGTTTGAGATCTTGTTATTATAATATTCAGGTTCTTCATTATGCCATACATATCATAAAATATAAATATAATAAAACAAACCTTGCTCTGTGGATACTATTGTTATGAAGACCTTCTGGTTGATCCTAATGTTACTGAGCTATTAGAAAAAATGCTTTCCATGAACAGTAGATTTCTGGCTTGTGGGATCTATTTTAATCTTTAGTAAAATCAGATACCCATGCAGCTGAAGTCTGGTCCATAACAGAACTGAAGCTGAACTATGGCTTAGTAGGTTATGTGAATCCAGTCAACTGCAGTGTATTCACTAAACCACAGTTGAACAACTTAGCACAAGCTACAGATTCAGTCATTAACTTCTCAGGGAGAAATGGCAGCTGTTTCAGAAAAGATTCTAGAGATAGGGCTTCTGGTGATGTAGCTTTGCAGCAGTTCACAATCTCCCTGCTCCTCATGAAATAAACATTAAAATAAGCCATTGGATTAGATACAGACTTAGGTATTAATGTTTTCTCTCCCCCATCATAAGAACAAAGGGAAACACCTTAGCATCTCCTATGAGAAATACTTTACTAATTATGTCCATGTAGCATTGCCAGAATGCTTCTGCTATTACATAGTCCAGAGGCCTTTTTATGAACAAGGAAGGACTGTTTCGTTGCTTCTATTCTGCATGACAATGTTGGAGATGGCTCATGTTGGCCTCCTACGCAGAAAATCTTTAAACATTCTCCCATCCTTATATTTCATCATGCATACGCATGATGGAGAAGCAGCTTATAGTTCATGGTCAGAACATTGTTTGGTACACAAAACATCCCAAATGTAATGTTTATTTAATGTATTTATTACAATCATATCCCACCAGAATCAGAATCGATTCTCAGCAGTTTACAATATCACGTAGGAAAATTAAAATATGCATAGTAAAAATTAAAATAAAAATTAGAAACAGTTAAAACAAAATCACCCCCCTCCAATTAACCAATAAAAAATAAAAAGAATGTTTCACTATCTATGTTAGCAAGTTACAGGTTTGAAAAGAAAATGTATCTCCGCTGTGTGTGTGTGTGTGTGCACACATACGTGCCCTTGTGTATCTACCTTCAAATAAATCCTGTTTTTTTGGCAACATTTTTTAGAAGTGGTTTGTCACCGCCTTCTTCCTAGAACTAAGAGGGAGTGACTAGTCCAAAATCATACTACTGCCTAGAATTCATGGTCTCTTGGTTTCTAGCCTAGTACCTCTAACTACTACATCAAAGTGGATCTCACCTTTGCATTAGATATATGTAAATATGCATTTATTCCATCACAAAGTTCAGCTGATCAGATTCTGCCTACATGCTGGCTATGCCAACATATTCTTTGCTATATAAGATCCGGTCATGGTGAATCCTGTGGCATACTGTACATCTGAGAAAAATCTGAACTTTGACCCTGCTCATTGTTGCTTTCTGCTAGGGAATCACCTGTTAGCTCTGACTTCTGTGTAACAAGCCTTCACCACCTTGTTTTAATCATTTTTCTGTCCAGCTTGTTCTGTCCCCACCACTTCTACAATTGCAGACATCTTGCAGTATTTATACTAATATATTGATGTCAACCCTAAAAAGTAGACCAGATCTGGAATCTGACTCCACTTGAAGGCTAGAATTTTATGCTTTATTGAGCTAGGCTATAGTAACTGAATCTTGCAAGTCTGCTTTTGTGTTACCTTCATTCCCTCTGTAATGGCTTCTGAATATTCAGTTTAAGGCTATCTCCATGGCTCTCTGCAATTCAACACCAGAGGTACATAGTCAACATCTCTGAATAGGGTACTGAGTCACTGAAGTTTAGATCTTCTGGTGGCTACAATTTCAAAGCCTACATTCTCCATAAGTGCTGGCATACAATCGCTATGTTCCCCTAACATCATGGGAGCCTGGTCCAGTATGTCTGAAGGGAACCACACTGGGAAAGAGTCTTCTAAGACCTATTATGAGCATCTGATACTGGGTTATATCCAACAGAAGTAGGTGCATTTCCATGAGTGCTAAAGTGGCCAAAATGTTCAGCCTTTTCTTTTGTTTAAGGAATGTTGTGGAAGTGATATGGATCCCTTAATCACACAACCTCCCCGCAAACCCTGAAGTAGATGTTGGACACATCCACTCTGGTGACATCATGATGTTACCAAGGATAACCCTTGCAGCCAGTGACAAGCCAAAAAAAAAAAAAACCATGCAGACCCTGGGTGTACGAAAGTTGCCCACCCCTGCAATAATGTAACAGGATTTCCTATAGTTCTTCTCTTCAACAGATTTCAGGGATTCTTCAGATTTCCAGAGCAGAGTTGAACACAATGGGGGCGGAGCATTATGAGTCCAAGCCAGTAGCAGAAAGACATCTACCAATGGAATTACTTGATAGGTTCTAACTATTTAAGTGAGAAAATTAAAAAAGTGTGAAGATAAAAATATATTTGCCACTGTGAATAAAAGAAAATTAAGTCAGTCAGTTTTCTTTCTGTCTGAAATATATAAAAATTATGCATACCTATTTTCTCTTTCTTTCCTTTTCTCTTCAATATATTGGTGAATTTCTAACCTAGCCTCTGGAGTATGAGGCACAGGTTCTTCCCAAAAGGCTCTGTCTTCATCATCGTCCTCAATTATTAATTCACGAAACTCATTCCTTTCTTCACAATTTTGGTGGTTCTCTGCTCCTTCTGCAGAATAGTAGCTAGAATATAACGTGCAAAAGAAAATCTTGGACACTTGATTTATTTATTCACTTCAAATCCTGTTCTCTAGCCACATGTCTAGCCTGGCTGGAGAGCAGCTTAGCCTGGTGACCCGCCCTACCAGTTCCATTTGAGTGAATGAGGAATTAGTAGTGATGGTGGTGGTCAATGTTCTGAGCTCTAGACGTACCAGAAAAAAGCATCCTCTTCCATTTGCCCTGCAGTATATTCCTTTTTTCTGATTGCTCATAGCTCTCCAAACCATCTTGAGAGAGGGCTTGCAACATATTCCCAAAATTCCACATCATCTCCCAAGTCCCAAAAGGATGGACAGCCATAGATTATGTAGCAATAAAAATGTGACAAAGCATGATTAAATTTGTTGGGATTATCCCATCTTTCTATGAAGTGAACCTCCAGACTATTTACAAGCAAGAGGTTATTATAATACCCAAAATAAATTTTAAAAAATAACTAAAATAAACTCAAGTTTACAGACACAACCCAGAAGCTCTGGATTTGCATCAGCCAGGCAGTGTTCCCCTTTTAGCAACCACTACATTCACATTCAAACACATTCAGGTCTAATTTCTAGCTGAATTCATGGAAGTTAGGGAGACAAGAGGGTAGACCAGAATGTATAGCACCGCTCTCTTTCAGACTAATTCCTGTCTGATCCGGTCAGGCAGGATGGGCGTGCTTCCGGCCCCATCGGCTAAGGAATGCTGGTTGGCGGGGCCTAGAAAAGGTGCCTTTTCTGCCATAGTGCCTGCTTTATGGAACATTCTCCCTCTGGACATCAGGATGGCCCCAACCCTGCTGGCTTTTTGTAAGTCTTTAAAGACCTGACCCTGTGCCCGGGCCTGGGGCCCCGAGAGTGTGCAGAGACCCGTTTCGTGGTTATTTTAGAGATTATGATGGGTGATTTATTCTTGGCTATGTATTTTAATTTTTGCATTATTTTGTTTTTATGCTTTAAATTTTGTTCACCACCCAAAATCACTTGGTGAGATGGGTGACCATACAATTTAAATAAATAAATAAATTCCTATTCTTATACATTCAGTTTTCTCTACCCCAAATGAACTACAGTGGCACCTACATGGGTGTCTTAATGTCTGTGTATGATTGTTTATCAAATCCCAGATTATGTCCTTTCTTCTTCTCCTCCCTTTTCTTCTGCTTTTCTTGAATCTGTCTTTGTGCCTCTTTTTTTTCTTCTTCTCTTTTCAGAAGATAGATTTGCTCCTGCTTGTGGATTTTTCTTTCTAGTTCAGGATAGTTTTGTAAAGACTGAATCCTTTCTGACCGTGTTATCTCGTTGCAATCCAAAAACTTTAAAAAGAAGGGTGGAGGGGGAATAAAATGATATTTCAATACAGTAAGCAAGAAATCCATCTCTCTTTGTTTTTATTATTCTTTTCATTAAATGTAAATGATTACATTTATTAAATTACAAATTCCTCAAGCCCAAATTAACGTAGAATCCTGTGTATTGAAAGGATGGACAACTTCTAAGAAGAAATATTATGGGATAAAAGGGCCATAACGGGCAGGATTATGTTCAGTGATGTTTTGCAAGTGGGTGGGACCAGTATTTTCACACAATTTTAGGGATAAAAATGAAGCTGATATCGGTCAAGCAATTGTATATTCCATGGTTGTTTTTTTTCTTAGTTACACATTCTGAAAAAGGCGGAAGGAAAAAAAAATCTGGGACATGTTATTCTCATGGGACTCCCAAACCTCTTTTTAGACTTCATTAGGTAGGGCCCACCGAAATTTAATGCTGAATCATCAAATCCTGAGGGGTGATTTGCCATTACGTTCAGAAAAAAAGAGACAAAATTCTTAAAACTGTGTGAAAATATTACTCCTACCCGCTTGCATGATATTACTGAATATAATCCTACTGACTACAGTGGTTGGTCACTTCATCCTTTAATTCAAAAGTTGTCCAACCTGGTTGGGCTACTGCATATAACAGCTGCCTATCCTGTTAGGAGCCTTTGTGGATGGTAAGGTTTGCAGGAGAGGAGCAATTTGTTGGCACGCAAGACAAGCTCTCCTCCTGCATTGCTCCAGATTATGGGAGGCACTTCCTAGACACCTGCCTTTAGTGCCCACTCCACCCGTGTTTTGGAAGTCTACAAGAATGCATCTCTTTGAGCAGACTTTTAACAGCTGAATGATTTTAATATTTATCGTACTGTATTGTATTTTTAACTTCTTATATTTTGTGCTTGTTTTCAAATTTTAATATCTTAAGCCTTTGCAGCACAGCAAGGAGGAATATACATCAAATAGATAAATAAGAAGGAAACCTCACAATCCATAAGCATAATCCTACTGTTTTTAAAAGGCGGATCATAGTAGCAATTAAAAAAAAAATACTACCTGCTTGATAACAAGGAATATTCGTAAGATGACTGTCATTTCCCCCTCAACAAGCGCTTGCTTAAATATGTAGTCTATTATCTGATCAATTGAGGCATGCTTGAGCAACTGAATAATTCAATCCTACAATCCCATTAAGTAAAATGTAATGAATTCCCTAACAAGGGACCACAGCCTGGTAAGTTTTTCTTCGTTGTTGTTGCCTTCCTAATTTTATTGCTTGTTAAAGTAGTTATCAATAGTTTTGCACTACTGTGTTAAATTAGTGATTTCTGCCCTTGACACAAGAATGTTATTGGTATCTAAATTAGAATTTATCATAGACATACTCTGAGTTGTTGTAGAGTAGCAACCACAAACTGCCTATAGCCTTCAAAATCAGTGCATGGATTTCCTACAAGGAAAAGCTCTTCAAGATGTATATTACTTTTCAGTGTTCTGACACTAGACAATTTTCCAACGAAATTTGCTGTCAGGTCCAGCTTTTGCAGCTCTTCACAACCTGTTTGAAAATGAAAGAGGACTTTTAAGTTTAACAACTCTGCATTTAATTAACAAGGACTCCTACCTCAAAGTCATCATACTGACCCCATCCTCACTCACTTCTTTTTTTATGAAAGTAAATATCAGGTGTGAGAAGGATGAGCAACATTTTTTTAAAAAAATGATTAAAGTTTGTTTCTCAGGTCAAACCTCATAAAACTGGAGATTTAAATGCTTAAACGTTTAAAAGTGCAAAAACAGGAAAGGGTTTTATGATTTTCAGATTTCAAGACAGCAGCCATCAATAATGTTTGCATTATTATTGTACTGTAGTATACTATTATATTTTATTATGTAATTTGATATATTACTTTGTTATTTTATATTTTGTGAACTGCCTAGAATCCCTTGGGATTTGGGTAGTCAATACATTGCATAAATTAATAAATAAATATGTGATCAGAAACAGCAGCTTCCTCCCATCCTGGTTTTTATACCTATGAGATCAAAAGCATTTGCTTCTCCTTTTAAACTATAATCATCCAGGAGGAACACATTCAGAGAATTCTGGTTTGATTAAATAGAGGTGCACAGAGTCACTGGGAGTTGGGCAGCATATAAATTTAATAAATTATTATTTTTATTATTGCCCTGGGATTGCAAGGGGCCCCTGAAAACTCTGGGTTCGCTTCTCAAAACTGTCATAAAATTGTAAATGTGGATGTGACAGATTGAAAAAATGACAAATGACACGAGTGCAGAGTAATCATGCCAACCATATTTAATTTAATAAAGACATCAAACATTAACATGTTTGTCTGAACATGTGGAAAAACTCATCTGGGGGAAAACAAGGCAATCCATTTAATCTTGCCATCTTCTTTTCAATCTCCACACATTCAGATGAAGTCTAAAAGGGAGGTTCTATTCATATTGGTGTGATCTAGGACCTTGTTTTACTGAGGTTCTGGATCACAGAGACAGCTACATTCATGTCTGAACCAAGGTTTCTGCCTCCACATCAGACCTCTCATCCTAGATTCTTAACTACATCAAAGGGTAAGAGTCAAGTGTATGGAAATGTACTTACTGTAAATTAGCTCTATTACTATTTACATGTATAAGGCAATAGAGGAATTTGGACAACAGTCCAATTGCACAACCATCTTCTGACTAGTCTGTACTAGGCAGTTCTTCAAATACCATACTGGAGAGCAGATGAGTCACTCTACATATGTTACCAACTCTCTTTGGTATAATAATCCAAACTATAATTTATTCTCTTGGAAACTCACTCTCAAATGTCTCTCTAAAACTCTACAGAGTGCTGGAGAAGCCCTTGCTCAGATCAGTAATTAATTCAGAACTAGAGGTTCTTAAAGGATCAAGGAGCACTGGGTTAGGCACCTAGTATTGCCTATCAGTTCAAGGAGAACTTGCAGCTTGTTAAAACTATTTAAGCTACTGAATTGTTAAGCTTCTGCTTTATATTGCTTAGTCCTCTGGTGGGGAATCTGTGGCCCTCCAGATTTGCTGAGCTATGATGCCCAAAAACTCTAAAATGGATGAAGAAGCATTAAATTCAGGGTTTTGAAATCACCAAGTGAAAGTCCAGACTTAAACCCCACAGAAATGATGTGTCAAGACCTGAAATAAGCAATGTTGCTAAACTGAAGCAGTTTTCCATGGAAACATGGACCAAAAATTCTACATAGTGATGATCACCAATCATAGAAGTGCCTGGTTGCAGTTATTACTGATAAAGATGATGCAAGCAGTCACTAAATCTAAGGGGGCGATTACTTTTTCACACTAGCATAATGGTTTATGAAATAAAAGAAGCAAACATCAAACTTTGATTTTACCTGTTCTCTCAGATACCTTTTATTTATCTCTGGGAACTTTCATGATGGTCTGATAACATTCACTGGCAAAGATATATACTTTAGGCCAGTATACTATATTTGCTGGCTGGGGAATTCTGGGAATTGAAGTCTAGACCTCTTAAAGTTGCCAGTGCTTTAGGCAGAAGGCTGGTCTAGAAGACCTCCAAGATCCCTTCTAATTGTTTGATTCTATGACCCTAAGTTAAAAAAAAAAAACTAACAAAAGGGGACAAATACTTTTGCACACACAACTCAGTAATATCTGGAGGGCAACTGGTTCTTCAACTTTAGTCTTCAATCAACCTGTGTAAATCCAAATTTAGATTCATAACCTGCTAAAGAACTGCTTCTGGGAATAACTTCTTGTGTGTAAAAACACAACAGCTGAGACGTGCTTATGTTTTTGTAGAAATAGATGCATATGTATTAACAAGCATTACCCATAGAAACATTCTTCAAAAGACAAGTATCTTACCTTCCAAATTTTCAATTTTTTCAATGTTGTTTAAAGCCAGATTTAAATATTCAAGCTTCTTCAGTCTGCTAACGTTTTCTGAAACGTAATTATTACATGTGACAGTTTTGCTAGGATAGACTTAGCATTCCCAATAGTTCAGTAGTTGATTCTTTAAAAAAGCAGGCAAAACAGATTTCTTAAAGTACCAAAAAGATTTATTGAGCAAAATTATGAATTAATTGTGAATGAAACACACAGAATGTTTATTTTAGAAAAAGAAAAGCATGACATGAATTACGGATCTTCTTATTCAAATGACATTTCTCTCCATTGCAGGGATTTGGAGGATTAAGTTAAACTGCTTTCCTTTTCAAAAATCCAAAGGATTGGTGACTGAATTAATTCGAAGAACACACGCGGACTGTAAAAGCAATGGTGGGCCTATGAACAAGATTTGATACTAGCTCTAGAGACCCTGTCTCTTTTACACCCTAATTTTTTATAGCCACAACTGCAATGAAACAAACTATATGGTCAAGCGGTAAATCTATCTTCAGCTAGTTACTGTATAAACAGCTGTATATATCATTGTATGTATAGTAATGTGCATTTTATCTTCCAGTGGCTTTTTTTGTTTTGTCTGCAGAAAAGCCATTAATTGAACTTCCATTTCTTTTTTATGAATCGATGGAGGTTACACATGGACAGAAGAGCAGAGTTTAAAACTGCACTGGCACTGATTGCTTGAAAATGCTTCACAGCAACCAAAGCAAAGCGGCCATGACTGGCAGGCAAGGGAAAAGTAGCCTCTGCCAAGAATGAGCAAGCACCAGCAGTTTAACCGTATTCTTTTATCTCAACACCCTTCAGCGGGAGCCTGGGAAACAAAGGAGCAAAAAGGACATGAAAGGGTTCCTGGGGAAGAAGAAACTAAAGGCAAAGTCACCTTACCAGAAAGCCATTGGATTCAAATGGAAAACTGCATTTTCCCCAATTCTATGATCATGACATCCTTGTTGAAGACTTGGGTGAACAATCTCATAACTACATGTAGCCCCTGAACCTCTATTTTGCATCCCAATTACCGCTCAAATCACACTCCCAGTAAATGATGATCTTCACTGCTTTCCAAGCAAGTAAAATAAGTGTGACAAGCCCCAGAGAGGCTTAAGGTAACAATTAAAGCAAAAATCCAAAATGTGAAAAAATCTAGAAAAAATCTGGCTGGGCCTGCTCTTTTCTGTCCTAATATCCTCTTAGCATGCTCTGGGCAATACGTGGCACTGAAATAATAATGTCGGCCACAAAACCCATTTCCAGCTGTAACATAATCCAGAGTTCTCACCCCAGGCACAAATGACCAGGCTCACATTATCACCCTTCAGACACATTATGCAAAGACCCAGCTCTCTGGCAAATGATCTAATGTAGGGAAAAATGGAAGGCAAGAGAAGAAGAGAATGACCAGCAGCAAGGTGGATGGCCTCAGTTACAGCAGTGATGGAGTATACACCATTGGAAGATCTGGGCGGCCAGGTTGAAGACAGATCACCCTGGAGGAAGTTATCTATGTGGCCACTAAACCAACTCCAACCTGACACCACATAATCAATCTTTCAATCAATTTGGTGATCCCTGTAGGCTACCTAAGGCTTTTAAGGGTCGCACAGGACTCCAGGAACTTAAGTTGTGTGTTTCTGCTGTACACAGATGTCTGTACTATATGTCGGTATTATGCATGCATTTTCAGCAAAGGGCTTGGGCTACTTTCCCCATTTTAAATTATTTTTCTTCCTTAAGTTATATCTTTTTCACTTCCCAGAAGGATCACTACATAAATTCACTTCACAGATAAATACACTAACCAATTTTGGAGATCAAGTTGTTTTGGAGATAGAGAATTTTTAAATCCCGGCACCATTTGTCAAGATGTTCAATTTTCTCGATATTCTGTTGGTGTAAGGAAATTTCTTCCAAAGAGAAGATTTCACAGTTGTTATGCTCTGCCCGTTGCCTAACCAGTTCTTCTGTGACTGAAAGACATATTGCAGAACAGAGAATCAATTTCTTCCATAAAACAGGGAGGGTACAGACGGTTCCTTACAAATAGATTAAATTTAGAAATCAGTTTTATATTCATCCATCCATCCATCCATCCATCCATCTATTCATTCTTATGCAGGATCTTCATAAAGCAAACTGAATAAAAAAAAAACTACAAGAACAGCAAATGCCTTGTAATATATGGCTCAGCAAAATTGTGTTTTGACTGACATTGTTGTGCTCCATCAAATGTATGTTGTTGAGAAATGGATCTTATCAAAGAGTTTCCTTGGCAAATGGAGAATAAATATCTCACAGAGGAATAATCTTTTTTCACTGTTTAAAGAGACACAGATGGACCGTCAGTACTTCTTTACTTTAAAATAAATACTTTTTATTCAGAGAAAAGTTTAATTTTATATTCTTCAATAAAAGAAAATGGCAGAGGGAGTTTAGAGGGAAAGTCCTCCCCATCCAAAATAAATAGTGTTCCTTCCATCCAATTATGGCCTTATGGGATTTTTAAGTGAATCAAAATAGTTCTACTATCCATATTTCTTTGAAAGATTATCACTCCCAGATTCCCTTCCAGTGAGGAATGGTAAACTGATGCCCTGCGCTCCACGGGAGACATTGCAGCTGAAAGGCAGCTGGATGCGGGATCCAGACTGCTGATAATTCTCTCTGGATAAAAGAGAGATCTTGAGATTACCCTCATGATTCCGGACAGCTGGTGTTTTTGTGAGTCAACAGCAGAAACTGACAATTTTGCAGTCATTTGCAATCAGCTGGGAGTCGCAGTTCCATCATGCTCTGAGCCATTAATGTAGCCTTTTCATGAACTCAAACTTTGACCAAACCTCATCTTTTTAATCACCTTGGAGTTTCATTTTTTTCTTACTGTCTCTTTAAGATTGAAAAACCTTCAGAACCACAAGTTGGGTATTTGCTAGGTGAGTCTCTCTTCAATCCGTTTAAAAAGAAAGAAAACTACATGTTTCCAGTTTTGTAAGATCTTTATTTTTGCAATATATAACAAAAGGGGAACTATAGTGTTGTTTTTGGGAAAGTTTTTAAACACTAAGGATTCAGATGAAATTGATTTAAAGAAAGACTTTGAAGTTAATTAAAAAGATCCTCTGATGTGGGAAAAAATTTCATGTTTATATTTCGACCTGGTAACAAAGCTTTGAAGGTTAATCACTAGAGAGCACCAGATGGCTACTTTAAAGGAAAAGTTTTATAAGATGGCTCAAGAGATGCTTGGGCTATTTAACCCTACTGTACACTGGAACCAAAAGTTGTTATTAAAGAGAAACAAGTCCCTTGAAAGATAACCAAAATGGACTTTAAGGTGTTTTTAAAAATTATAAACTATAAGAAAGAGATGGAAATATTGGATTTACAAATGAAACTGGAAGATCATTTAAAAATTTAAAAAGATATACAAATAATGTATCAAAAGAGAGATGCAGATTACCTGTTTAAATTGGAATATAAGAGGCTCACTGGAGTGGCCACACTGAATTTACATATGGACTTTGATAAAGATGACAAGGATTTCAAGAGAAAAAACAAGGATAGTAGAAGAAAGCAGATGTTAGAACTTTATCTATGGGATTCAAGGATTGATGGGAGAAAGAAGAAAAAAACACAAAATTGGTTTACTTGATTATGGTTAAGTAAATGGTTGCTGTCTCTGGTAATGTTTAATGGATACTTTGACTAGCTAGGGTTTTTTCTTTATTGGAAATGTTCAATTGGGTGTAATGGTTAGTTTGTAATATCTGTGTTACTATTTTTGGTATATAAATAAGGGATTATTATTTCTGGTAAGGTTTAACAGTTTTTATTTTTCTGTAATGTTTAATTGTTAATTGTGATTAGATTTTGATTATTAGGAGAGGAATTGGGGGATTATGTTTAAATGGAAAGAGGGACTACATGCTTATGTTGTTAGTTATATTTGTTAATCTTTACACCTTTTGTTGATTAATAAGGAGAGCTGAGGACTTAGAGATGGGTCTATAGAAAATGAGGTGAAGTATGGAACAAAGATATATTTGGTAGTATTTTAAGAGACAGTGATAAGTTGAATATACTTGCTGGGGATGAAGGGGGACGTTTCTTCTTATTGGGGGGGATTTTTTTTCCTCTGCACTTTCTTAACATTATTTTTCCTTCTTTTAATGTATTTTTGAATTAGGCTCTTGTATTAGCTTATCTGTTTTATATAATCTTTAATAAAATTATTGGAAAAAGAAAAATTATCACTCCCTAAAATCAATAAGACATGTATCAGAAAATGTGTATCTGGAATAGAATTATTCATGTGAATATTGGAATAAATCCTTCTGTGCCTCTAAATTCATTTACCTTTTTGATGCCTCCATTAATTCAGTAAAGTATTTTGGAATGCAAAGTGAATGGAACTCGTTAATGGAAATGGAACAAAACAAGAGTCACACATGCATGCTGTGAAAATGCTTAAATTATTCTAAAAGGTAAGTTTTCCTCATATTTCTTCATGATGTCCTTATCAATTTGTTCAGGATACTGCAATCTAGCTTCCCTGACTTGCTGCCTTCCAAATAGCCTTCAACGATAACAATCACGAAAATATTTTCTGCATTGCTGTTCCTGCCGCAGGAGCCCAGAGGGCTTCACAAAAGAACAATAAAATCCACCTGAAAGCAATGTAGCCATAAATAATGAAACCAAGCATCCTAAAAAAGGAGAGAAATGTGAAAACAAAGCAAAAGAGCGAGGCGGGGGGGGGGGGGATGGACATGTTCTTTCTACCTCCCCACCGTCTACAAAGTCAGATAGGGAGTTTTTATCCTAGAAACGCCAGGAGTCATTTGTCATTGGAAAAGAAAGAGTGGGAAGGGTACAGGGGGGACAGCTGAGCTTACCTTGGGGGAGAGTTCGTAATGGGGGTTCCTCCACCAAGCAGGCCCCATTCCTGGCAATCCCACAGGAGCCCAGCTAACCCAGGGGGCTCAGGACCTCCCAGCATGTGGGGCGGAGGGTATGTGGGGGGGTGAACTTCTATCCCCTAAGGATGCTGGCCAGTGCCTCCCATGGTCCTCAGAGCTCCCAGGCAACCAATGCAGGGCTCCCAGGACCTGCCTGGGGGGTGGCATTTCGCCCCATGGCTGCTTCTGAACCCCCTGCCCCAGGGCAGTCCCCCACAGAATGTGGGGCCCGGAGGGATCCCTGGGGGGTGTAACTGGGCAACAGCTGTGACTGGGCAGAGGGCTTCCTTGGCCCCCAAGGGAAAGAGCAGACCTGGGGAGGAGCCCCCAGGAATACAGACCCACCCTGGGGGTCAGCCCCTCCCTCTCTGTCCAGCCCACCTCGTGGGGTTGTGGCGGCTGCAGTGG